AGGTTTTTTTTATTGGTGTTTGTCTCAGCTATAGAATATTATTCAGGTTTTTTATGATGTTTATCTCAGCTACAGAATATTATTCAGGTTTTTTATGGTGTTTGTCCTAGCTACAGAATATTATTCAGGTTTTTTTGGTGTTTGTTTCAGCTACAGAATATTATTTAGGTTTGCAGTTTACGAAATAATCTCTTTTTTTTTTCCAATGTAGTTTTGATTAAAAGGTCATTTACGTATAGGACCTAAGTAAATGTAAAATTTTGTTAATCTAATTTTCAAACTTTTTTTTTTAGTTGCACGTTAGATAAACCACGTAGATCGTTATGAATACATTATGTATAGAACAACTGCATAGTTTGCAAACCCTAACCTTATTTCAATATATCCTCTCAACGTTATTTTTCTTATCCCCCTTTTATAGTTTAACACTTATGCTTAAGATCACTTCCAACAAAGGAATTTCTTCACAAACTGAGAAACAAGAATATATCTATTACTAAAGTACGTATTTCTTAATTTTAAAAAGTAAGATAATGTCCAATAAATATTTGTATTCTATAGCTATATTTTATATTTATCGCAAATATACTAAGGCTATCTGTCACCATCCCTAATCTTGAACAACTGACTAGAGGGAAGACAGTCAGTCAGTTGTATCCTACCACACACAATCCACGCTAAGGGATTTGACTGTCACACTTATAACGCATACACGGCTTAAAAGGAGGCGTATTTATTAGCATTGTGCAGATTCGAACCAGGCTCGCCACCTCCGAAATACAGATGTCTATTGTAGGCCTAATAACCAATAAGGAAAAACTTAGATAAATTTATATTTAATCTGTGACGTTTATTAGATCCTTCTAGATTTATATAACACCCTAAAAGTATTACAAGGTGCAAGAAACATTTTTTTTTATAAATGTGTTTATACACTTCTTTCATTATATTTAATATTATACACAGTAAGCTACAATGTGATCGTCGCCTATTTCACCAGATCTCAATAAGACTTTGCACTATGTAATAGGCACTGTCGTAAATTAGTATATCTTATTCATGCTGTACGTGCCGTGTAGGACTGCGACCTTCTGGCATTTCTCCAACCATGTGACGGACGATTGGCCTTGTTTATTATACAAAACAGTTGTGCAACAAATTTAGTGGCGCGAAGTATTAGTTATTGCAGTGTCAAAGGTGTATAGGTTGTACTGTAGTTCCCTCTTTATTTAATGTAGCAAATCAAACGCACTTGAAGCAACCTTTTTCACTTCCAACCATATCTACGAGGTTTTGTACACGAACCAAGTGTTAAAGAGAACTTGGGTTAAACTTCGTTCTGTTAGATTATAGTAGCTAATCGTTAGAAGATTTCTCTCACCCCACCCACGCCAAAAAAAGACTATAATGGAAGTAAATGATAATAATTGTTTTCTACTGTTGCATGCAATTGTAATTAATTGTACGTTATATGGATGAATGCCTTTTGTTCGTGTGCGTGTGGTTGAACAGAGATGGTGGGAAGTTAGTAACAAAAAGGGAAACCACACCTCCGGTATATTTAAATATATTACAATTCCAGTATAACTAGCAGTGCATATAAAGTTTTA